AACGTAGTAAATAATTATTGAAAATTATTGGAATATTTTGGAAATTTGGGAATTTTTATTACATTTGATAGATTTTGGAAAATTATTTAAAAATTGTGTGATTTTCATTTTAAATTATTAAAGATAAATTAATATTGGTAAAGGAAAATGTTAATTTGAACCAATAATTACACATTATTTCTGTTATTAATATAAATTAGTATAATATTGGAAAATTTTAGTAAAGGAAATTATTAATTAACTTATATTGAAAAGTAAAAGATAAATTAGTGTAATTTTGTAAATAATATATTTAAAAAAGAAAATAAATTATTTAATATATTTAAAAAATCAATAATTTAGTATATATACTTTTAGAAATTTACCAGGAGCCGACATTCAATAAATCCTTTTGATAATTTTTACCAGCAAATTAGACATTGGGTTTTCCCGTGCATCGCACTACTAGTATATATATATAGTTTTGATTGTCTACTATGTACTTTTCGCAGGTTAATACTAATCATTTGGAGTTTTTTTTTTTTTTTGAGAAATGTTAACTTTTCATTCAACTAAAAAAAGATTTACATGAGAGGATGTACAAAAAAACAGGCTTGACTGCAAAAAGAAAACAAGCCCTTTCAAAACTCAGGAACACTATTTGCACTCAGCACTTGGTGATTACTGATCTTCTTTCAACTTGTCCATCAATTTTTGTCATCAAAAAACTTCTCCATCAATTGCTGAGGCTAATCGTTTCCTTTGGGTGTAAGATTGTTACTTGTACTCTTTTTATTAGCATTAATAAAATTCTGTTGGTTAATCATCAGAAAAAAGAAAAGATCAATTGTCAAAACACAGACATTCTCAAGGTTTGCTTGGCTACTTTTTATATGTTAAAATTTGCTGAAAATTTTGTGAACTCTTTAAAAAGAGCATATTTGATGTGTAAGGATCCTTTCTTGTTTGTCGGAAATTCGGAATTTACAGTGAACTCATGGTCATTTCAGCTTTTGGCACGGCAACAAGCTCAGAGGGAGGAAGAACTAGCACAGTCACAAAGGCACATATTAGCACTTCAAGTAAGTCTCACCTCTTCTTAGATTCTATGTATTCCCTATTAAGCATGTGCTGACAATCAATTTAATTCAGGAGGAAATCGAAGAGCTTGAACGTGAAAATCGTCTACACAGTCAACAGGTACAAACGAATCTTGAAGACTTAAACATTTCATGATTTTATCTGCCTTTGTTTTTTATGTATACATTTATACTGATATACATCTTAAAAACAAACTCACAAGTTCTGATCTTACTTGGTGCAAGGGCTATGTAAACTTTTGTACTAGAAAAGTAGAAATATAGCATTAGATTGGTAATCAACTAAACTTAAAAACTATATTGTGATATAGTTATATACAGACAGTGCAACTGAGTTAAGTACCAATAGAAACAAGTAATTGATAGTCAACTAAACCTAAAATACATATTTACCAAAAAAAACCCTGAAAAATATAGTTGTGTAGGCAGTGCAACCCAGGCAGTTGGTTCAGGTTAAGGGCCAACCCGGAGTGAATCCCAAGAATCAAATTGTCATCTTTTCCTGCATTGTGACTTTGTTTACTGGATATGGATAAAACTGTTGGAGTTAAAATGTGTGTCCCATCTGATGTGAAGGGGTTCATAGGTGCTTAGTCTTTAAGAGGGTTAAACAAGGCTGGAAGAGTATCTTGGAGCATCCTCCCCACAGCAGTCTTCTTGGCAGTGTGAATGTGTGATGTGAAAGAATAGGAGAGTTGAATAAAACAAGTAGATTTCTGTTCTACTGTATTTCAGAAAAGAAAAGAAAAGAGAGGAATAACTAGGCTTCGAAGAGAAGAAGAGAAGAAGAGAAGAAAGAAGAAAGGGGTTCGATTGATTGATTCTGCTGCCCCATAATTTTTATTATATAGATTAACCTCCTTACAAGAATAGGAATTATTCTAATCCTACTTAGAATAAAAAACATACTCTAATCCTATTTAGAATAAAACTCAAACAAAAGTATAAACTAGGATAAACAAGGCCAGCCGACCCAACTTAAAAAAAGGATAAAATAACTAAGTGTGGGTATGGAACCACACACACTAGAACCTAAGTGTGGGTATGGAACCACACACTCGAAGCTGCTAATCACTACACTCCCCCTCAAGTTGGGAGTAGATATTTGTCATGCCCAACTTGCGTAAGTTTGTCTCCAATTTGATTTTTGTGACTGCTTCGGTGAAGAAATCAACTAACTACATGTCCGAGGCAATGTAAGGAAGGCATACTTCTTGAGATGCAACTCGTTCTCGGATAAAATGTCTGTCTACCTTGATATGCTTAGTCCTGTCATGCTGTATTAGGTTGTGGGCAATATTAATCGCAGCTTGATTATCGCAATACAGCATCAGAGGCTTCTCATAATCAATTTCCAGCTCATTAAGTAAGGATTTTAGCCATAATATTTCTACAACACCATTGGCCATGGATCTGTATTCAGCCTCTGCACTGGAACAAGCAACAACATTTTGTTTTTTGCTTCTCCAAGAAACAAAATCCCCCCCCCCCCTACATGCACAGTATCCAGAGGTAGACCTCCTGTCATCAACACATCCAAGCCCAATCCGCATCCATATATACCTCTATTTTCATGTGACCACTATTTTTGAAGAGTATGCCTCTCCCTAGGCATCTCTTCAAGTAAGCAAGCATCCTTTCCACTACAAGGAGGTAAGTGGTCCTGGGAGAATGCATGTACTGACTAACAACACTGACAACATATGAGATATCTGGCCGAGTTAGGCAAAGATAAAGTAGTTTTTTTTTATGAATGATAATAAATTTATTAATTCAGAAGCAGATTTAGAGTGAGTTCATACAACATCCTAGGGAGAGGCGCGAGCTGCAGCCCCTCCTTGAATCTTACAAGTAAACTAGGAAAGAAAAG